AAAAAAAAAAAAAAAAAAAAAAAAAAAAAAAAAAAAAAAAAAAAAAAAAAAAAAAAAAAAAAACCAGCAACAACCATGTTTCCCATCGCACGACAGCGTTCATCACAAAGGATTTTAAGACAGGAAACATATATAACAAGACAAAAACTCCTGACGACGAGAACACATACTGGCCAAAAAAAGGTCCTTCCAATCTTTAAACTTCGCACAACTGTGCGAACCAGGTAGCCATCAACAGCATGAAAACGATAATCTGAAATCGTCGACGACAATCATGCCGCCGTTCCATCGACCAACCAACCACGCGCACGACGACCATGGACACGGACCACGTAATAACTCCAGCCGCCTACCGATCGAACCACCCCGTGTGCACCACCTCCCTACCCCACGGTCCTACATCAAAGCTAGGCGGTCTCGCAGTGCATCCCTCAACAATTCACCTTCCACGTTCGTGCACCATCCCCGCCCGTGAGCGCCGTTCCCCACAATGCCCAAGTCCACTCTACGCCGAACGCCGTTCGCATCCACCTCCCACAGAAGGTTCTCGTCGAAGTCGATCCCCGCGTCCAGGAGGATATTGTGGAGAGTGCAGACAGCCATGAATTGTTGTGGCAAGGTCTCTTGGTTCATCTTATGGGTGCGCAATAACAGACGCCACATGCACTTGAGTCGGCCGAATGCCCTCTCCACACACCCCCGCGCCACCTTTTGCCACGTGTCGAAGCGCTCCTCGTCAGCACCTTGGTCGATTCCTCCGTACGGCGACGCAATCCACGGACAGGCAACTGGATAACCGTTGTCGCCCAACAGGTAGCCTCGCGTGACGACACCATGCCGCAGATTCTCCGGAGTTGCGTCGAACAGCTCGCCACTTTCTGCACGCCTAAACAACTGGGAATTGTGCAGGACACGGACGTCGTGCACACTTCCAGGGTATCCCACGTGGACATCGAGGATCAGCAAATCCAAATCCACAACCACCTGCGCCTGCACGGAGAACTTCTGTTTGCGGTCGTAGTAGTTCTCGGAAGGTGCGCTGGCTGGCTTGTCAATGTAGATGTGTGTGCAGTCGATAGCGCCGAAGCAGTTTGGGAAACCCTTCTCACGGAAAGCGCGCAAAATCTGCGCACGTCTCCTGCCCATTGGCCACTTTATCGCGTCGGGGTACACCTGCAGCAGCACCGAAGTGACGTCGCGGACGGCCTGCAGTTCAGTCGCCTGCCGATGCCAAATGTTGACGTGCCGCTCTCGTACGTCTCTCCGGACGCCCACCTGTATAATGCGAAAGCAATCAGCTGCTCCACTGGCAATGGCATTCGATAGTGTGTCACCTTCTTCTCCATGTACGCGGCGCACGCGGCTACGATGTGGTTGAACATGGCCGTCGACATGCGCAGCTTCTGCCGGAAGTACTCGTCCGTCACGTCGTCTCGAAGCCGGAGGTCCTCCCATGTCCCGCCAGTCCGTCGTTTGATCCACCATCGCAGAGTCTGCCGCAGGAAAATGCCAGACGTCACCGCGACACACAACTGGACGACTGCCTCACACGTCGCCGCGCAATCTGGCGCCTCTGCAACAACGCTCTTCGTTGCCGGAGCCGCGTCAGCATGTCGCGCGACGAGGACTCCTTGTCGCCCATCGTGTTCACGACGACGGCAGTCACCGCCATCGCCACGACGTCGATCTCTTCGTCGCGTAGACCGTTTGAGCAGCCATGACTGTCCATCTCTGCCAATCCTCGCACGGTTTGCCACGTCACGCCTTCGACAGCTGCCTCAGACACGCCCGCCGCAGAACCCTGCCGTCGTAGAGAAACAACGTCGGAGTCCACGATGGCAACGCTGCTGTACAATTGCACACGAGACGGACACGCATCCGGTGCGCCACGCTTCCAAAGGACGGTACGCACGCCGGAGGCGAACGTGCGGCTCACACGATCATGCGCACCCTCCTCGCAAGTTGCGTACACTCGAAAGATGGATTCCACGCGGCGAACGACAGAGAGGCGCCGTATTTTTCAGGTCACACGCGTCGGCAGGGAGGCGCCGTTTTTTTCACGGCGCACGCGTCCGCGAGAATTCGAATTCAAAATTTTGAAGTTCTGAGGAACTACGCTTTTCACCGATCCGTCGACTCTCGCCCAAGGCCCACCGCATTCTGTACCACGGACACCGCCGAGGAATGGAAGGACATCGGCGGCGCGGCGGCGTATACGCGTATGAAAACGGGCCGCAGGGAACCTTTTAGGACGAGTCCTAAAAGATGATTTTTAGGACTGCGTGTAACGACGCCGCACGAAATCCTAAAAAACCTTTAGGACTCGACCTAAAAATTTTAGGATTCTTTTAGGAGTGTCTAACGAGACCCCTACTCCTAAGACTATCTAGAGGGGACCCCTGCAAGCATCGTTTTCCTCTCTCTGTGAAGGGGAGATTTCATGTTGCCCCTTGCCCCTAATGGTTAGGGTATAGGGTTGGGGCCGCCAGTGGGGGTCTGGCTGACACAAAGACCGAGACCTGCCAGTAGCTGTGCCTCCCTTTCTCATTGTCCCCCACCCTTCATCGAGTAGCAGCAGAGGCTATGGCCAACACTCTCCCACACAACCCACTCGCGCTCACACTCACACCCATGTTGGTCATAGACCCCGCTAATACCGATCAGGGGTATCCAGAGGACTATCACAGTCCGTTGGCACTAATGCGCCGTTCTTTTTTTATGGCTACGTGTATGCACCATTCAGCCACATTAAAAAAATAATAATAAAAAAATCCAGCCACATGGCCTGCACGTAACTGTTGACTGATAAGGGGGTTTGATCCCAGATTCTCATGTTTTCAAGAACCGCCAAGATTTGTGGGAGGTGCTCTATTATGGGGTTGGGGTAGATGTGAGGGGAAGCATCAAACCTCAGCGGGGGCATATTAGATAAGGGGTAGGCAAACGCATATTTTAGGTGGGCATTGGATGCCTCTGGGGTTACAATGAGGAGAATGGGATTGTTCCAAGTTGGGGCTGATTAGGAATGTCTACAATTTTTACATTCTTTTTCGACGGAGGCTGCAAAGGGACACTATGGGAAGGAAGACAGGCGGGGAGGGGTTGATTTTTATGTTTTGTTCAACAATTTATGCTACACACATAACATAAAACTAATCATGATTAATAATAATCAACCAGTGTTATATACATAACTGGAAGTCAAAAGGTCGTTTTTAAACCACCAGTACCTTTCTCATCTATTGATGTCGAGCCTAAAACTATCCTACACGCAAAAAAAAAAGGAACCGGTGCGGGCCTCATTTTGGTTGTCGCCACCAGCCACTTCACGTCGAGTCTGCCCGCGTCCTGTGTAAACCACCGACTCCCCCTAACAATAAAAAATTTAGACGTAGGCTATTTTTTCGTTAAAGGTTTTGGACTACCGGTAGGTGAACGAAGTACCATGAAGATTGAGTCCCAGGTTCTTGCCGGTGGGACTTAAAATTTCACTCTGCTCGTCGGGATTCGGATGTCCTCCTTCCAAGGTGTAGGACATCAACCATTTTTTTTTTCCAGTCGTTTCTTTTTTTCTTTTTTTTTTTCTCTTGGAATTTTCAATTTTTTTTTTCATGCACGACCATTCAGTGTGTTTGCCTTTCCGCCGAGCACCTTCTGCTCTCTCCGCCATCGTTTCCTTCTTCAGCGTCCAACTTGGCAGCGTCATTTCACCACGCCTTGCATGTCAGTGATGTGACTACCTGTGAACGGCCACCTCCTCGATGTAGCGGACGCCTGTCGCCCTTCGCCAGCTTCGCAAACAACCATCCTGACTCATGTAAGGTTTTATGTGATCCCTTTCATGAGCGGTGGATCTCTCTCTCTCTCTCTCTCTCTCTCTCTCCCTCTCTCTCTATCGGTCACAGATACGTACACAACACTGCACACCGAAACGTTGACGCACACACCTACACACAAATATACATACAGAGATGCAAAACAACACAAACACGGACGTGCGGCATGACTTAAACACACATACACACACACCTTGATGACGGTAAGAACGCAATGCACACTCTTGTTGCGCCACGATGTGGATGCTGAGAACCCCGCAAACACAAGCGCCGGACCGCACGAAAAGCCACAACAGAAAAATTCCCACAAGAAATAAAAATTAAAAAAACATTATTTAAAAAAAATCCTTCATATTTAAAAATTAACATTCCAATGTTCGTCCAATTCTAAAATTTCCGATTTTATTTGATAAGTTCCCATCTAAAAATGAGTTTTTCCTTCCAACTACATCTATTTGTTGAAGATGGAATGAAAGTGTTAACGCTTTTATTAAATGTCTTAACTAAACTTTCATTCCACAACAACAAATATCTTCTAATTTAAATTGGATTAACTAATTTATGACTGAAAATCATTATATAGAATGACATTTCAATTTAAATATTTCATGAACTAATCCGGACTTTTATTCCATCTCTAACATGTAGTTTAAATAAGAAGGAATACTCCATTTTTGGAAGGAGAGTTTTCAAGTAAGACCTAGGCTACCAGTCGGGCCGCCCAGGTCACCCTATTCTCCTAGACGGTCCGGGCGTGCAAAGACCAGAGAAGGTGCTAGCAAGAAAAAAAATTATGTTATGCAGAAAAATCAGCTGAACAACTTTTGTCTCCGAGTTGCATCGAAATTCTTTGCCAAATTTAAAATAAAAAATAAARTTTTTTTTTTTTTTTAATTTTTTTTTTTTTTTTGACCCGGCCGGGCAAGTGGCCCCGGTCCACTCTGGTACTAGTAGCCTAGAGTAAAGCGAAAAAATTTAAAAGTGGAATGAAAATTTTAAAGATGGAATGAAAAATTAAAATTTCGAATGTAATTTTACTATAAAATGATTATTTAATTTTAGAATTTGTTTTTGTTGCACACATGGTGCACACAACAAAGTTAGCAGCAAGCAGTCACACGACGGACAACTATGGCAAGTGGTCGACACACAACAACCAAGTCTGCCTTTTCGAGGTTCCTAGCTATAGCGTATGCAAGGTGGAATGAGTGGAAGCAAACCTCCAACGAATTGAGAGAGATAAAAAAAAAAAAAAAAAAAAAAAAAAGCGAGAGAGAGCGAGAGCGAGAGCGAGAGAGAGAGAGAGAGAGAGAGGTCGCCGCCAGGTTGGTTGCTACTCGCCAAGAGAGACGGAACGGTTAGACCGTCGATTCGTCTACCACCATGGGTGTGTCTGAGGCAAGATAGACGAATAGGCGAATTTACCGAAGTTTGTTTTTTTCGTTTGTCACCTGGTTTCCTTTCATATTGGATACATGATTTCATAAATGACTGAATCCTAGTTAATGTCGTGTAGTGTTGTGGTGTTTTGTGTTCTTGGTTTGTGGATGCCACAACAGAAAAATTCCCACTAGAAATGAAAGCTGAAAAAATATTCCATACAAAAAAAAATCTTCATATTTATAAATTATCATTCCAATGTTCGTCCACTTCTAAAATTTACAGTTTTATTTGATAAATTTATGTCTAAATATGAGTTTTCCCTTCCAACTATATCTATTTGTTCAAGATGGAATGAAAGTCTGGATGAGTTTATGAAATGTTTTAATTAAACTTTTCTATTACAATTTACAACAAATATCTTCTAATTTAGATTGGATCAACCCATTCCTTACTTAGAATGACAGTCCAATTAAAATATTTCATGAACTCATCCAAGTTTTTATTCCATCTCTATCATGCTATTCAAATAAGAATGGATACCCCATTCTTGAAAGGAAAATTTTCAAGTAAGACGGAAAATTTTGAAATTGGAATGACATTTTTTAAAATGGAATGATAATTTGAAATTAAGATTGTAATTTTACTATAGAATAATTATTTAATTCTGAGAATTTTTTCTGTTGATTTTCCCTGTGGAAAAGACGCAATGTGGCCCCGTAGATCGGTACCGGTCCACAGTTCGGAAACTCTCTTCTGCAAAGTGCACAAATGTGGCCTTGTAGACCGATACAGGGCATGCGTCCACGAACGGGCGGCAACGACCCACCAGCCCACTGACCAGATGCATGTGACTTCCTCCCCCCATTTTTCTTTTTTTCGCTCTCTCTCTCTCTCTCTCGCTCGCTAAATGAATCTGGTTTTTTGCCTGCACCAGATTCATTCAGACTGTCCCGTCCATGCTCTCTCTCTCTCTCTCTCTCTCTCTCTCTCTCTCTCTCTCTCTCTCTCTCTCTCTCTCTCTCTCGCTCGCTCTCGCTCTCTCTCTTCATTTTAATCCCTCGTCAATGTCGTAATCCTCCACGACATCCACGCATCCTCCACGCATTCCAATCCTGTCGACTTCTTCCACCGCCTCCCGTCTGACTCGCCCGTGGTGGATAACCACCCCGCAGTAGCCCGTGGTCTCACTTGGCTTTTTACAACCTCCCGCAGTTTGCTTCGATTCTATGTCTAATTGTTTCCTCGTGATTGATAACTACTCCGTCGCCTTTGGATCATCATTGTTATCATTGCCGACATAGCAATCATCGTTATAATGTCAGCATCGTTGAAACAATCACCATCATCATCTACCTTTTTAAAATGTCTGTGTTCTGCCCCGCGAGGTGTTTAGGATTCAAACTCAATTGTTGTCTTCCCCCTTATTCGCGTTTGGTCTTGCGATGTCCTCTTACCTACCTGCAAGCCTCTCGCTTGTTTTCCGACTACCAACATATATTTTCGTCACCACCTAATATAGCAGTATGTAGACGGAAATGTCACTGTTTTTTACTATCATGACGACACCATTTATTTCGGTGAGGAATGTAATTAGCTAATGTACTCATTTGACAATTATGGTCGTTAGTCACTTTCG